GTGCTCACAAAGCTGCCTGGGTGCCTCAGTGCTGCTGTGGTGGTACACGTATTCATGTCCAGGTATCCCAAACACGGTCTGCCTTGGGCGTGGAGCCCTCACTGTGAAGCAACCAGGCACGCGGCTCTCTCTCCCTCCCTCTCTGCCACACTCTGTGCCTGTGCATCAAGTACCTTGCCCAGCTGCTTGGATGCCTGGGTCATGCGCAAACCCAGGGCTGATGTTCACCCGCATGCCACCTTTGTGAGAGTTAGGAAAAGGTGGGCCTTCTGAGCAGACACAGTCCTGATAGCGCATGGAACCGATAGCATCTTTGGGTAGAGAAAAGAGTCCCTCTCTCTAAGTGGCTGCTGCCATGCGAGGGCGAGTTCCTCTGAGTAGGCTGGATTTCTGCTTCCACTTGCCCCTTGACAGGTAGCCGTTTGCAGTTCCCAACTCCTCCACAGGGTGGTGGTACTGAGACCCTTGTGAGAACTGCTGTGGCTTCTGCGGCAGCTCCTGGCTCCCGGCTGGGCACCCTATCCAGGCATCCATGCCCATTATCTCATGCAGTGGGCACTTGTGGGTCCCACCCCTCCAGCCCACCAGACAGGATTCACGTGTGAGTCCCCACAATGATAGCTACGGCTTAGGCTAAGCCAGGACTCCCCGAGGAGGAGAGCTGCCCAGGGCCAGCTGATGTGGACACCATTTCTCTTGGGCAAGGTTGGAGACACGTACCTTCTGAGCCTTTGGCTGTGCTGTCCTAGACCCCTGATGCACCCCCATACTTTAGTTACCACGTTCTTCCTTCAGATCTGTGAGCCACATCTTTCACATTCAGCAGCTCTCAATTGGGTGTCCTGGCAGCTCCAGCTCTCCATCTTAACATCTCTTAGTGGTAAGGTGATTTCTGAAGGAATTCATTTCGTCTCCTCTGATTGGATTTGCCTACAACCCTCAGAGCTCTGAGGAAGGTCTAATTGTCCCCCTCTGTATCAGCCACACCCCAGTCCTAGTTGAGGGGATGGAGCCCCTTGCTAAAAGCCTTTGGGGTCGGGGGCACTCGGCAAAGACCCCAAGGAGGAGATTCTGTTGGACAAGTAGAACGTGCCTGGAGGAGGCGGAGGGAGGAAGGCACCCTGGGGCTGGGTTGGGAGTGTCTCCCTTCACCTTCTAGAGTGGGGTCAGTGTCCCAAAGGCTACAGGAGAAGGGGACACTGCTGCCCTTGGCCCAGGGCCCAGGGCATCCCTGGGATGGGACATGAAGTGCTTATCTTATACCAGGTACTGTTTTAGGAACTTTACATGTAGGGTCTCATTCAATCTTCAACTTAGCCCTATGAAGTAGGTGCTATTATTATTGCCATTTACAGAGAAAGGAACAGAGGCACAGAGAGGTTAAGTCAGTCACCTTCCCAGGATCACATAGCTAGTAAGTGGTGGACCCAGGATGCCAACCTAGGAGGTCTGGCTCCAGAGGCAATGCTCTATCCGTTGTGTCCCACTGCCTCTTTCTTTCAATTCTGTAAATGAGGTGGCCATCATGTCAACAAGGGTCCATCATGGCTAGGCAGGGTGGAGACTGGCCCTTCATATTGTAAAGGAAGGCTGGCTATGTCCTGGGCCTCACCAGCTCCCCCTCTGTGGATTTCCGTATATAGGACATCCTGATGGTGGTTGCAGTCCTGGGACCTGGTTAACAATCCCTGCTCTCTAAAATAGTCCCCTGAGGCTGTCCTGTCTGTGACCCAGTCAAAGTTAGGGTTAACTCTTCATCCTCACTTTCTGTGTCATGCCTGCCAAGCCAAAACCTCATCCCGTGGCCTCCCTGTGAATGCCCCACCTATGTACCTTTTCTGGTCCCTGGGGTCGTGCCTTGATTTCCTTACTGCCTCCTGGCTCTTGGGCAGAATTATTTTTCCCCTGAGGATTAGTTGCTACTCGTGTGTCTATGACTGATACAGTCCTAAGTGTAACCCCTTTCCAAGACTTAGCGAGAGCAGAGTACCTTCACCTGCTCCTGCCCTGAGTCAAACAGAAACTGCTGTCATCAACCTACCCCAAATCTGGGAGTCCGGGCCGGCTGAGTGGCTCAGTTGGTTAAGAGTGCGAGCTCTGAGCAACAGGGTCGCTGGTTCCATTCATACATGCACCAGTGAGGTGTGCCCAAGCTAAGCTGCTGCTGAGCTGCCAACAGGTAGCAGGATGGCTCAGCTGGTGAGAGCACGTGCTCCTAACAACAATGTTTCTGGTTTCAACTCCCACAAGGGCCAGTGGGCTATGCCCACCTATAACTAATTGAACACAGCACCTTGAGCTGAGCAGCACAACTGGACTTGGAGCTAAGCTAGCTGCGCCCTCCACAACTAAGATTGAAGGACAACAACTAGGCTGTTCCCCTTCCCCAATTCCCCAACACTGTTGCCCTTCCCCAATTCCCCAATAAAATCTTAAAACAAACAAACAAAAAAACNGAGCTCCAGGTCGAGCTGTTGTTCACCATCTTAGTTGTAGAGGACGCAGCGTCACTGGCCCTCATGTGGGATCCGAACTGGGGCCCTGCTGCTCAGAGCTGGCGTCCCAAGCCAACTCCTAACCAATGTGCCCACTCGCCGGCCCTGTATGTAAATCTTTACAGGCTATTTATTCCCCTAGTCTAGATGCCCCTGAATGAAATGACCAGGTTCAAGATGTAAATTTCTTTTACTGCTTCTTGATAGAAAAGAATCAAAGTGTGTAAACAGAGGTGGAAGTCCTCTCCTTGCTCTCTGCCTTCCACCTCCTGCCGTTTTGTTGTTGTGTTTTTTTTTGTGGGGGGGCCGGGGAGGAATCGTGTCATGCCTCTCCTGGCCTGCAAGGTTGTGTCATGACTTTGTGTGAAGGAGCCAGGGTTTCAACATTTCTGTGGAGAAGGGAGGGGAATGGCGGTGGGAGGCAGAATTTTAAAAACTGGTTTGCTTTAAAAGGCCCCACACAGAGCTCAATAAAACAAGCAAACAAGCCCACCCACCTGCTTCAGTCGGCTCTGTGGGGTCGACCCTGAGTGACGTCTCTCCCAGGGGACTCCCTTGTCAGTCAAAACGTTGGGGGCTGAGTGGTATGGAGAGCCAGGCTAACCGCATTGCGCTCTACCCTGCCCTGGTTCACTTCCCTGGCGCCCCCTCCTGGGGAAGTTAAGGGGAGCAAAAGGGGAAGCTGTGCCCCAGGACCACAGGCGGGTAGCAGGGGTTGGTTTGGATGACAGAGATCCTGAGTTCCAAATCCTACATCGGAACATTTGCCCCATCAAAGTATCGCCTCATTTATACATTTATTTATGTAAAAATAACGCCAATAAAGGTTTAAGCATTAAAGCACATCGAACCCAACGTTTGGCAAATCATTTTGCTTTTAAAATGAGAATAAAGTTGCCCAAATTAGGATGTTCTGGACAGTCTGGGGTAGGCGTTCTTGCAGCTGTACCTGCAGTGGGGTGGCTGGCGTGTCTCCAGGTGGGGAAGAGGATCCAGGTGCCCTGACTTCATGAGCAAGCCCCTCCTACCCAGGGGGCGGGGCCAACTTCCAAAGGCCTGGAAAATGGTGAAAGAAAAACTTTGGGGCTGCAAAGTGTGAGAAAGAAGACCTCAGGATTGATAAGTGTTTAACGAAATGCCTTCCAAAAGCATCATGTCAACTTTAATATTTGTTAAGTTTGGTATCCACAGAAATGTCATTCTATTTGAAAACAATTTGTAAATTGGATTTTTGGCAAGAGTTCCAGACGATGCAAGATGATTGAAGAGAAATTATAGCCAATAGTAAATTAAATGAGTTACTCATCAAGTTCTTTCAAGACCAAATTTATAAAAACACTTTTACATTGAAAGCCAAGAAATGTATTTAATGAGGGAACGTGGGTGTATTTTAACTTTTGTTACACAGAGGGTGGGGCCTCTGAGAATCAGACGCAGGGTCAGTAAAGGGATTCGAATGGCCCTGTCCTGCAGCGTTGCTCCGGGCTGGCCTAGGAGACCAGCTCGGCCTTTGATCTAGCCTGGCCCCTTTTACTCGCCTGCCTCCCTAACCAGGCTGGACAGATTCAGAGCACCTACTCCTGCCACAGGCGTTTTCTCTAGATCTGTGCAATGACCATGTGTGGTGGGAGTTTTGGGTTTTATTATGCAGATAAGAAGCTGACCCAGATGTGAAGCCTAAGTGTTCCATTTACTAGCTGGGCAAATCCCCCCTCCTCCCTGACTTCCCAGGTTGGGGGTGCTGTGCAAAGGGGAGAGAGTACCAACTTGTTCCCAGCCTTTTGTGTACAGCCAGGATTCAAGCTCAAGTCTATTTGACTCCCAAGTCCAAGGAGAAGCACAGGTGTATGCCTCTAGAGGACTGGCAAACCAGGATCTTAAAAGACTTGGAGCATCTGAATTCCAAATCTGAGACGTGGTGACCTCTACCCAGGATACCGCTGAGATGACAGGCCCTGAAGTCTCGTCAAAGGGAAGAGGAGCACCTCAGACAACACCAACAACAGTCTGCCTGTGTCATCACTTTTTGAGGAGCTTTTTGAGCCTCCGTTTTTGTTTTTTTTCTGTTAGGAGGGCAGTGCCACCCTCTGTATAGTGATACCCGCCCAGTGAGGGGTAAACCTGAACAACTTTTTAATAAAGTGGCCTGCACCACCCTGTTTTCCTCTTATCAGACTGTCCCCCTCCCGNAGGTGCCCCGCCTCTTGTGAGTATCCCTGGGAGTGGGAGGGAACACGGGGCGGGGGGGGGGCAGAGTCCAAGGGGCTAGAGCCTGCCACCTGTCCTCCTGGGGTGGCTGACCTCCCCCGTCCCAACCAAGTCCTCTGAGTGAAAGGAGGGCCCTTCCTGGTTCCACCCATGGTCTGTCTAGCCTGGCCCACCCAGTCTGGTTCAAAAGTGTTAGCTAACGTGATCTTGGGCTGCGATCCGACCCTTCCTGGCCTGCTGGTATGCTCACATCAGCCCTGACCTGCACGTACCTGTGTGCCCACGTTTCGCCTGCAGTGACGTCTACCGTACCAAGGGCCAGCTAGCCAACTTTCAGGAGATGCTGGAGAACATCTTCCTGCCGCTGTTCGAGGCCACCGTGCACCCCGCCAGCCACCCGGAGCTGCACCTCTTCTTGCAGCATGTGAGGGGTTGGCACAGGGCTGGGTATGGGGTTGGGGAGGATAGGCTGCCTCAGGCCTGGGAGCAGCTTTGGACCTAACCCCAAGGTCCTGTGCCAGGTGGATGGCTTTGACAGCGTGGATGATGAGTCCAAGCCCGAGAACCACGTCTTCAACCTGGAGAGCCCTCTGCCCGAGGCGTGGGTGGAGGAGGACAACCCGCCCTACGCCTACTACCTGTATTACACCTTCGCCAACATGGCCATGCTGAACCACCTGCGCAGGTGCGCGCCCTTCCAAGGCTGCGTCTCCGCTCACCTTGCTGTTTTCCACCTTCTCCCCCAACAGGCCTGGCCCTGGGCCTGTCTGGGCTGGGCCCTCGAGAGCCCTGACCCACCTCTCGCCCTGGGCATAGTCCTGATGTTTGGTTCTCTGCCCTCGGGGCTCCATGGCTCACGCCTCAAAGCCAAGAATCTAGCCCTGCCCCCTGTCCCAGGCCCACACAGTCTTGGGGCAGGGTGCAAGGCTTGAGAGCTGACGCTGTCTTCATGTCCCCCAGGCAAAGGGGCTTCCACACATTTGTGCTGCGGCCGCACTGCGGGGAGGCTGGGCCCATCCACCACCTGGTGTCGGCATTCATGCTGGCTGAGAACATCTCGCACGGGCTGCTTTTGCGCAAGGTCAGGGCTGCACCCCCAGCCTCCCTTCCAGTTGTTCACTTTCCTCTCGACCCTCTGGGCCCCTTTGGCAGCTGATCCTCTTCCTCAGTCTGGACTGCTCTAATCTCAACCTCCATGCTGAGGCCCCAACTTGGATTCTGACTGTGAATGACCCTCCACAGATCAGGCGCAGCCTGGACTGCTCCCTCCGTGACTGTGGCCTGTACCCCCCAGAACCAGGGGTGCTCTCCAGCCCCCAGGCCACCTGACCGGCCCTCCCTCCCTGTCGCCTGCCCAGGCCCCAGTCCTGCAGTATCTGTATTACCTGGCCCAGATCGGCATTGCCATGTCCCCGCTCAGCAACAACAGCCTCTTCCTCAGCTACCACCGGAACCCGCTACCTGAGTACCTGTCCCGCGGCCTCATGGTCTCGCTGTCCACTGATGACCCCCTGCAGTTCCACTTCACCAAGGTGGGAACCCTGTGGGCAGCAGGCCCACGGATGTTCTGGGATGAGGACACCCCGCCACTGGGGTATCAGGGCTGGTGCTGCCCCCTGCTGGTGGAGTGCAGCACGCTGCGTGGCAGTCCTGGGGAGGGACTGGGTGACTGGCTGGGCCTGGTAGGTGCACCTGTCTTGAGGGAATCTGCTCTGTGCAGGAGCCACTGATGGAAGAGTACAGCATCGCCACCCAGGTGTGGAAGCTGAGTTCCTGCGATATGTGTGAGCTGGCGCGTAACAGTGTGCTCATGAGTGGCTTCTCCCACAAGGTACCATACCCGCCAACCTAGACCTGGGCATTCCCTCTCCCTCCCCTCCTCTGCATTGGGGAAGGTCCCAGGGGTCCTGGGACATGGCCCCTCAGCGCCGGCTGCAGCCCTGGCCATTACCTCCTCACCCTGCAGGTGAAGAGCCACTGGCTGGGACCTAACTACACCAAGGAGGGTCCCGAGGGCAATGACATCCGCCGTACCAATGTGCCAGACATCCGCGTGAGCTACCGCTACGAGACCCTGTGCCAGGAGCTGGCGCTCATCACGCAGGCTGTCCAAAGTGAGATGCTGGAGACCATTCTGGAGGAGCAAGGTGTCACCATGAGCCCGGGGCCTCAGTGAGCCTGGCCCACATGGTGTCCCCCGCATCTCAGAACTCTGACCACGTTTTGTCCTCGGACCCCTCCCAGCCCGTTGTGTCCTGCATGTGTCCGTTCTCCTTTGTCCTGCATGTCTCTGACCTGTATCTGTCTCTGTGCCACCCCAGTGAGAGCAGTGCCCAGGATCTGCTCCACCTTGTTTTGGCTCAGGTGGCACCCAGTGGCCCAGGTTTGAGGGCTGCCTTGCTGGCGACCCTGTCCTAGGATCCTCTGAAACCTGGTTGTCCACTGGGGCCCTAGGGATGGTTGTGGAGGGCTGGCCCCTCTAGCCTTTGGGGTACTGCCTGGGCAAATCTGAGCTTTGGCCACGGCTTGAGTGTAGGCCCCCATCTTGTTTACATGGCTGAGGGACAGTCAGATGGGGCCTATGCACATCTGCTGTCAGCACAGGGTTGCTGGGGGCTTCGTGGGGCTCCAGCCGCGCTACGATGGGTAGAGCTCGGCTGAGAGCTCAGCCGTAGCCCTGGCTCCCGGGACTCAGGTCTTGGAGGTGCTAGACCACCACCTCTGCCAAGTCACTGCCCAGCAGCCTTCTCTGTCCTTCCTCCAGTCCACGTGCTCCTGTGGCGTCAGCTTCCTGTGCCTCTGTGGGAGGGGGCAGCCACCCTGTGCCATGTCTGGGGCCACTGCAGCTGGAGGGTCCTACACCTGCCACCAGCCCTGGGGATGGTATCCCCAGTATGGTCCCAGAGTTTTGACCAGAGACTTGGATCCTGGCTGGTCCCCTATGTTGTTTTCCGGACCGAGGTCTTTGCTGTGAAATGCAGTGTTTCATACAATCCCGTCTTTCCTAATGCATGAGAAATAAAGATTATTTAAGTAAGGAGGCCGGTGGGATCTCTATTGGTGGGGTTCGCTGAGGTTGGCACCAGGGTCATTTTGGGTGGAGGGAAAGCAAATCCTAGGGGATTGACTGGGCTTGGTGACGTGTGTTGTGCACGTGGGAACTGACAACAGGAGCTGTGGGAGAAAGGAGAGGCTCACGGGGACATGTCAGCTGCCCCAGGCCCTCATGATACTTTTCTCCTTCCATTTCCCATTTCCCGCCCCTTGGAACAGCCCGGAAGATGTGGGAATACTTACAAGCAGGCCTAGGCCAGTAGTTCTCAAACTGGGGAGACATCAGGATCTTCTGGGAAGCTTGTTTAAAATGCCATTTCCAGGTCCTTCCTACCCTCAGATTCTGATAAAGTGGGCAGAAGGTGTGGCGCAGAAATCGAATAATGGCTTTTGTCCCGTGTTTAATTTCTGGAGCACCTCCAGGAAGGGGAGTGGAATGTCCCCTGTTCTGTGCAGGGTCCTGGGTTGGCGGCAGAAGCTTGTCGCTGCTGCGGCTGCTGAGTGGGGAGAATGACAGGCTGGCTGCTTCAGAAGCAATTAGCTCTAGAACAGCGTGAGCCTGTGTAATTGAGGGTCTGGTGAGGGAGCAGGAGGCTGGCTTCCTCCTCCCCTCCTGTCAGCTTGCTCAGCCCCCGCCTGCTGTTGCTGCACCGGCTTGCTCCCTCCCCTGCACGACACTTGCTTACTGTCCCTGAGCCGCTCTCCTGATGCCCAGCCTCCTGAGGGCCACCAACCAGGCTGGCTCCTGGCCAAGACCCAGGGTCCTTTAGTCTCCCTAAGGCCTCTTGCCAGTTAGTTCTAGCCATTTCCATATCATAGAACTGAGTGTTAGGGCTGGGTGATGAATTAGAGACTGTACAACTCGGGCTGATTTCTGGTTGGGGAAGCAGGCTTAGGAGATGCAAGCGGCCTGTGGCAGAGCTGGGACGGGAAGCCAGCGGGGCTCAGCATCCAGGGATCCCCCACCCCACATTGGGCCTCGTCTGCTCAGGGAACACTGCTTTTCCAGGGTGAGGGAAATTATACACATTTAATAATAAAACTGCTGTGTCTTCTCTAGAAGGTTCCTTGAAGGCAAGAACTCCATATTTACTCCTTGAATTTGTCATGAACTAGACTCCATTCCATCCCTTGTACATTCTTCTCAGTGTGGGCTGAGACCTGGCACTAAGAAACTACCAGTTTTAAAGAGTTTCTTAGCAACCTCCACTCTATCTTTTTAAACAAATTTCTTGGTTGTTTTTTTTTTGTTTGGTTTTTCAGAAATTTGTCTTTCAAATACTTATTGAGAGAAAATAGTTTTAAAATTAAGGCCTTCATAGTTTTTCCTGTCTGAAAAGAAAATAATTTTCATTACAGAAATTTGGGAAATATGGAAAAATTGGGAACAAGAAAAAAAAAAAGCCCACTCATCATCTACCAATGTCAACAAATATTTGCTAATAATCTGCATGCCTGAGATATATTTATATATTTAAAAAATATATATATTTATTTCAGCTCTGTTTTTAAAAGGCATTTTTTAAAACTGGTGAAAGAGCAGTTTACTAGAAGAAAAAGTACACTTCAAAGAAATAGAAGTGGGCCCGAGCAGAAGGCAGTGGCTCAAGGGCCCATTATTAGAAGAGAAAGTGCACCCCACAGAGTTTGGAGGGGGCCGAGCAAAAGAAGGAGCTCAAAAGGCCTAAAAAGGCATTTTTGAGTTGAGATCGTATATGTATAATTTTGTGGTTTTAAAGTATTTTAACAAGTCTTCCCACATTGCATTAAAATACTATTTATAAATATAAATGTTAATTACTGTTCACTGTCCCATGAATTTACCATCACAGCTCTTCTAGGTTAAGAATAGCTATGGCCTAATGTCATGACTGACAGTCTTTTCTCTGGAGCCAGACCACCAAGGTTTGAATTTTGGCTCTAAGACTCCAATATTGGCTGTGTGACCTTG